AAATACTATTTCAATTAATAATTGTCTTTACCACATCATAAATATTTTCAATACATATACTAACTTGGATGATGCCAAATAAATCTTGAAATATTATTTCATAGAAACAAGAATATTTCATTACCCACGTCTGTGTGTATCGCTTCGTGGAAATATATGTTTGTTCAGTGGGTGAACACTGAATTTCGTATTCTAATTCGGGGTTATTAACGAGTAGATTGCTGATTGCATGCATTTACGGCAAAAATGAATAAACGATGCACGAAACAGTGGAGAAAATAATGAGTGTTATTATTTCACTTTCGATTTATTAAAATTATTGTGAGAAGAAGTACAATTTTGTTTAAACTTTGCTTGTTGTAATTAATGCACCCTATTTCTATTTCGCGTAATTTATTGCCGAGAGTGTAAATTAATTCTGAAAAATGGTAAGATAACGATTATAAAATTGTATTCCTTTATTATAAATGTACTGAGATTATATTAAGTTTATTCTGAAAATAAATGTTGTAAAAATGTGCTCTTAGTTTGACCTTAAAAATTCAAACAGCACATATTCGCTTTGTATTGTAGATAATCCGGAGCAATTTTAAGAAAAATAATTGTTCATAAGGTTTTAATGTAATTACGGTTTGCCATTCTCATTTATACGAAAAGTAAAATTAACATTGCTCCGATCGATTTATTTCGTACAGAAATGTGGTTATTTGTAGTATTCTTACTCTGCATTTATAAGTACGCTGCGAATTTCATGCATCTATAATACGTAGGAAATTAAACCACGAAAGCTGAAAATATCAGTGCATTTTAATACAGTTTGTGTTCATTCATTGTGTTAGATCGTGAATAATTTTTGCTCCAGCAACAAATAACGATAAAATGTTAGTATACACAGTATAGTCAGTATATACAGTATACATATAGTATACATAATAAAACTATGTTCACAGAATAATTAATAATAATAAGAGACCAACACCTAATGTCGTTTCATAATGATGATTAATAATGAGTTTGCGTTGCAAATTAAATTCACGTTTTCTCATTTATTGATCCATCAAATATAGTATTAATAATTCGAGACAAATAAGGTGACTCCGAAACGATGATTTTCTATTCA